TACATGAGGCAGGGACACACAGAGGCACGCAAACTATTCACACTGAAGACAAGAGGTCACAGGAGGTGAGTACACATCAAGGGTGGGGCAACAATCTACAACCTGGAAACAATTGGACATTTAAAAATAAAACTCAGAGCAGGACAATTTATCCTGTCCCCTCTGAAGAAAAGCAGCCCCAAAGTATGAGGCTGTCACCACCAGATTTGCAGTGATCAGTGCTAGTTTTCCACCACATACTGGATGATGGATTAAACAGGTCTTGCTCTGTAAGCTTGAAAATCATTGTAGTAATCACCTGCTTTTAACTTCTCCCCAATCTCTTCCCTGACCTCACTGTAGAAAGGCTACCCTGCTTAGAAGAATGCATATTTTTCATGCCGTTTTATAGCAATAAAACTCGATGGACACATAAGAGTTTAATACGCCACCAAAGGAATTTAGGTCCCCACAAGACACATAAACTCGGCGGGGTGGGTGTGTGTGTGTGCGTGTGCTGTCCGTCAGTCTGGTTAAATTCAGTCACCTGTGACGTCCTCATTCTGTCTGTTCGGCGTCACCACTTCTCTAAAGGACACGCACATGCCCGCACACACCCACGCACACCCACACACACACACACACACATACACTCTGTCATATCAGACCAGGGCAGGTGTGGGGATCATGACTTTTCAAGAGGATTCCACCAGAACTGCTTTGAATTTATAGCATGTCCTCTCTCTCTTTGTAATGAGCCAGCTTCAGTGACACAATGAAATATATGTTTTGCAAATAATTCCTTAAATCTTTGTTTGTAACACTCAAAAGAGGCACAACATCAGTGGTAGTTCATTGTGGGCTAAATGGGAATCCTAGTCTCATTCTCCTGCATACACAATAGGATAAACTTGGCTATTTAGTGCCAAGGCTGCATTCTTCCATCTAGTGGCCACGTAAGTATGCACACCCATGTAACACGTCTGAAAATACATGCAGGATTTGTCACCGACTATTGGATGACTAATACCACAGTATTCCAACAGCTTAAACAGACACTTTATTTTTTTATCGAACATAATTTAAATTAAAATTCATCTTTTTCGTACTTCTAAAAGTGCTGGGTAATGGGTTTATTCAAATAAAAACAAGCAGTTCTACATCATAAATGCTCTGCCCTTTTACCGGGCTTTGTGAGTGGCTCATCACTGGAGGGTCTACCGTGAGAGAATCTTGAATCCATGCTCCAATCACGGGCTAGCACCCGCTATAACCTGCAAACCGGGCCCTTTTCCCATTCTTTCTCAGTCAGCGTGCCTTGAGGACACAATTAATGTATCTTATCTTTAGTTGAAGAAGAAGGAAGATAGATTGCCATTGTCTCGCCCAAGTTCCCTGTTGTCAACCGCAGCGTTAGGCCAAAGAGATGCAGTGACTGCTTGGCGATGCTTCACCCGCAAGACACCCAGGGCCGCTGCTTTCTCTACCTGGGCTGGCAGCATTCCTTCAAGGGTTCCTCCTTCCCGGTTGGCCTCTGTTTCCCAAGGGCAGAGAGAATGCTGTTGTGGCGTCATAAGGCGATTATGACGCGATTACAACCCCGAGCGTTCCCCGGAGAAAGGACTGGGCGGACCACAACGAGGAGGAGGATTACAGGTGCTTCAAGGAGTACGCTGCCTCACTGTTCTCCACGAAAGAAGCCCCTCGACAAAACTTTCTGTTTGACCAGATGCCAGAGCTCTTCGCTGTAGCTGTCATAACCTGCTTAGGGATTTCACATCTATGGGCCCCTCTGCGGGCACAGATGCCAACAGGTCGTTCTGTGTCCATGCATGGTCCCTGGCGGCTGCAGCGGATTGATTCTTGCAAAAAACAAAAATTAGATTTGCCTGATTAGACAAACTCCTGCTGTCCTTCTGTTATATATTCTTCATGTTATCACTAAGGGAATGGAGCAGGTGGCTTTATGACAGGGCCCCAGCTGGATCTCACCCCAAGTTTGACTGTCAGTGGTGGCATAGCAGAGACCCTGCAGGAGGTGGGTGGTTTTTGGGCGATGGAGGTGGATGGGTTTTGAGGGCTGGATGAGGGAGAGGGGGAAAGGTTTTTACTGATGGGTTAGGGGAGAGGTGGGTTGAAGTGGATTTTATGTGTGACGCAGGAGAGTTGGATGACCAGATGGAATAGTTCTGAATACGGACAGAGAAGGAATGTGATGGAGGAGCAGCTCTCATGAGCGATGATGGTGGCGTTGCTGGAGCTGTCTTTGATGGATGGGAGATCTACTACGACTGTCACTGAGGTTGGGACCCTCCCTTGGCACGGTGCTGGTGACAGAAGCGCTGAGACCTCTCCTGGTGATGTTGAATCGCTCTCTGGTCGTGTGTCTACTTCTGCAGTTGAAACCCTCCCTTGGCGAGGTGCTTCCTTTGTTGTCCATGTGATTTCATGGGGCGAGTTTGGTGCAGCCCATGTTGGGATTCGAAATGAAAAATCTGTGTTTGGAGTTTTTCTGTATCTTGTTGATAGGACCAACAGTGGCTACAGACAAATCTGTGTCACTATTCCCGAACATAGTGCGTGTTCCAGTCGTCAAAATCTCAAAAACTTAGAGAGGTACAAACAAATCTATATCCAGATTTTGTATAAAAATGATTTAATCAGATAAAAGGTACGGCAAGAGAGAGAGCAGCAAGAGACAAAAACTGTACTCTCTAATGCAAATATTCATAGATTTGCTACACCACATAAATTATGAATTGTTGTCATAGTGTTCGATAAAACTTTGACTTTCCAATCAGGCATCTGTTCAGTGAATTTTGCCTTGGGCACAAACACATGACGTCTTAAAAGTGCCCAACTAATTTGAAATGATTGTAAGTATTTTCCCACGGATTCCTCTGACAGCACTGGGTTTTGTCAAAGTCTCGGCCATGCAACTGACATATGAATGTCAGTTGTATAGGCTGAGGCTCATTGCAAGACGGAGCTATAGGAAAGGTTCTTACTGGAAAACTGAATTATCAATCCTCGCGCCACAGCTGTTCCTCTGCCAATCAGTGTCTGCTTCAGCTGCTTCATTTAAACCGTGTTTTTCATTCTGGTGCTAAAGCTTTCAGTTTGAGCTGCAACCCTCCTCCTCCCGTTTACCTCAAACATTGGGGAATTTGCTCTTCATCAGCTTCCACCACTTACACCGTTTAACTTTCATAATATCTGTACAATTCCCTTCTGCATGTCATGCTGTATTTTCAACAAGGCTGTCACAACATGTTCATTTACCACAATTCAATAAGCATAATATTATGCCATATGTCTGCAAGGTCTAAGTGTCTTTTTTCAATAAACATCATTCAAATACAGCATCAACATGTTCTTTCATGAGTCTTTCTATCTAGATTAAGATGTTTTATGCTGAAATAGACTAATTAACTTTGTAGCCCCAATTGAAATGTCCATTCATTAGAAAGGAGACAGTGTTAAACAGAGAAAAGAGGTAGCACTTGGTAATGTTCTCAATCTTTATAAAGCAGTTAGAGAAAATACTCAAATGGTATAGTTTTTTTGTTTTTTTTTTTATTGAAAAGCTATTAAAACATGCTGTTGACAAATATACAAGTACTTAGCAGGAGATAAGTGTAAATACAGGTTATGGATGCACTGTTCTGTCCAGATGTACGGCTCCGACAGAAGCACACTTTACTTTTAATCATGTTATCATATACAGTATGTGGCCGCTTTAATACATGGAGTATAATTGTGCTCTGTACCAGGTTACCAGTGCTTCAAGAACATCTTTGGACAGAGGTGCCTTTCTGTGTAGAATTGCATGTTCTCCCCTTGTCTGGTTATACCTTGTCTGAATCATTGTGATTCTTCCACATTTTTACAAAGACTCCAGTATCATGTTAGTGGATGATATTATGTACAGGGTAGCAGTGAAGTGGTTTTTATCGTTGGTTTTAGTTCTTTCTCATAGAACTAAATCAAATCGAATAGAAATAGAAAATATCAAATCCAAACTGATAACATTATTTTTACTCATGGATATTTAATGTATACATCTGAAACATCAAGAGGGTTTTGAGTATATCGTCAAAAGACAAAAGATGTTTTTTACAATACTTGCTATTAATATTCCTTATCTGATATAACGATGTATAAATATTATTTTTCTAAGAGCTTTTCTACTTTTCTCTTTTATTCCTCTAAATCAGAGGTGGGCATTTATTATCTTCAGGGGGCTATATTGAGATATTGCTGTAATGTGGAGGCTGGACCTGTTTTCACATGGTTAATATATTATTTATTTTTTTGCAAAAAGCTTTTTCAGTTTTAAAATGTAAAAAGTATATACAAGTTACACAAGTTACAAGCCCTCACTGGGTAATGACTCCTAGTTCCTTTAAATAAGCAACAGACCAGTTGTTTAAGGCCGCCTTTTTGTGAAATAAAAATAAAATCCATCTAACTGGTTCCTATAGTTCTTAATACAGGTTGGTTCTAGTTTTGAGATGTCTCTCTTTTCAAATACATCATTACACATATATTAAAAAAATTAAATGAGAGCACTCGGGTTATACACACGTCAAACAGGATAAATTATTTAATATAATAGATAATACAATAATAACACTTTGGAGCTGTACTAATAATTGCACTGCCATAATAAAATGAGAGAAAATATATTCATTCCCTTATAGATCCATAATGGTGGTGATATTATAATAGATTCATGGTTATTGGTTCAAACAAACTGCATTTCATAAAAAAATATTAAAAAATAAAAATTAAATAAACATGGGGGAGTGTTGTTCTACGTCAGCGCGCTCTCCACACCGCACCACGCCGCGCGCAGACGTCATTACGCACAGTTCCCAAACACAATACCGAGGAAAAAAAAGCCACGTTGACAATTCACACTCAAGAGTTTGACGTGTTGTCCTCTATTTGTGACCGAAAAACGCCACGCTTCACCCGAGGGCACATTACAGCTCGGTCAGCGTTGCATTACATTAGCCATGTCCTCGCCGCCAAAGGAGAAAGTGGAGATGAAAGGAGGACATCTTCCTGCAGGTAAACTAAACAGCTGGGTATTGTCTTGTTCCTCATATTTGCAATGATACAACCTTATTAGCGTAACAGTGCCAAAACCGTGCAAAGACATGTTACTGCGCTTCTATTTTTACAAGTATGCCATAAAGGATTGCTTTCTGTCGCAATATGTTACTTCCTGATTGTAGCAGCCTCGTTAATGCATAAATAAGGATATGTTGTTGCAGCTTACAGACCTCCCATTGCCCAGAGTAGGATTTTTATTTGCAGCACATAGTTTTCTTGGAGGTCATAAAATAGTGCGGATGTGGGCGAAAGGAAATGTGTACGTGGACTTAGGAGAGAGGCAGGAGAGGGTGATGTGTGTGTGTGGTCAGAGATAGATGGCACTGTAGTGGAGGTGCTGTCCTGATTGCACAGAAAGAAAGTATTAGTAGAAGAACTTTCACAAGCTGCATTCAAAAGGAAAAAAGTGTGGTCAAGGTCACCAGTCCATTCAGATCACTGGGCTGGCTCTTGCTCAATGGCCCTGGGACATGACACCTGTGAACAACTTAGAGCTGTAATCTACTTTGACTTTTGCACTTTGCTTTAAGTAGTGGTAACTCGTATTGGACAAAAAAATTATCTCAAATGTTCCCCACAGTATGTTTTACTGTGATGAGAAGATAAGTAGAGCTGTATCGATTAATCAAACTATTTTGGTAACCAATTAGGCAAGCAAGTTTATTTGTTTAGCAGCATTCATACACAAGGCAACAAAGGGCTGAACATAAGATACAGTACATTAAAAAGAAAGATGAAATTATAAAATCCCTCAGTTGTATGCACAGCTAAAGAGAACTTTCTCAAATCTATGCTTAATATATAAAGCAACTCATAATTTGGCTCCCACTCCACTTGCAGGTCTGATAAGTCAAAGGAACAGTAGTGAGCGGCTCACTAGAGGCTCCGTGAGAGGCGACCGTGTGATCCCTCTGCGTAAGAGCACCTTCAGTCAGTCTGCCTGGTCCGTTAGAGGCACCAGAGAGTGGAACTCACTACCACAGACTGTTAGACAGCAGAGCACATACAGGGCTTTTACACAGCACCTAAAACAATGGATGGTAAACACATACACCTGCCCACATTAACTGATGTATGATATGCTTATGCAGTCTTGTAAATAGTATATTTTTGAATGTGTGAACACAATGTTAGTCTTGAATGATGTTATCTCTGTCTTGTAATTTTGTCATGTCAATGTATTTTAATATCTTTTTAACATCACAGCCAGGGGACTACAGATGAAAAATAGCCTCCTTGGCTAATTCTGGCTTTTTTAACTCATGTTTTATCATGTGTTTTATTAAATTGCATTGTCCCCCTTTGAAATAAACTAAACTGAAACTGAAACTGTTTTTAACCTAAACATTGTCAGATAAGAAGCCTGTCTCACATATTCAGAAAGATTGTTCCAGAGTTTAGCAGCCTGAAACTGAAATCTCAGCCTCTCCATGCTTAGTTCTGACTCGGAGTCCAGTCCCTGTGCTCCTCAGAGTCCGGCTTGGTTCGTATGGGACTAACATGTCACTAATATATTTTGGAGCGAGGCCATGGAGAGACTTGTACACAAGCAGAGCTGTTTTAAAGTCTATTCTCTGAGCCACAGGAAGCCAGTGCAGAGACCTGAGCACTGGACTAATGTGGTCGTACTTCCTGGTTCTAGTCAGGACTCGAGCTGCTGCATTTTGAATGTACTGCAGCTGTTTTACAGCCTGTTTGGAGAGACCTGTGAGCAGGCCATTGCAGTAGTCTAACCTACTGGCGATAACCTCCTGATGTTACTGATTTGATGTGGCTATTAATATTTAAGTCCAAGTCCAGTATTACCCCTAGATTTCTGACCTGATTTGAAGGTTTTAGGGAGAGAGACTCTTTGTTTCTGGGGGCCAAAGACAATCATTTTGGTAAATCATTAATTGCTATCTGCTCTATTCATAGATTCCAGCACATGTAAGTGCTGTGAGAGATTCAAGAAATTAACTATTTTGTAATCACTTTGTTTAACCACTAAGTACTTTTTTCAGTTTAATTATGAAAGGGTTTTGTCTGGAAATATGATTCTGTTAGAATGTTCTTCAGTTGCTTAATTTCTGCTTCCAATCATCCAATCAGATACAAATCACTGTGTTCTAAACTATTGATTGATTAATTCAGACAATTCTTCCTTACTGATTATTAAAAAAAAAATTTTATAACCCTTCTGGTAGTGATCTTAAATCTCACTCTAATAAATCTGGAGCTACTCTGCTAATACTATCATAATGAGAAAACCAGATTACCTTCATATCTGGTGTGTTGGGGTTTTGATAAAAGTGATTGATGGAACTATTTTATTTTTTTGAATTATCTTTTCCTTTGTGTTGTATCAGTGAAAGCCGGAGGCATGAGGATAGTGCAGAAGCACCAGCCGACTCCAATCCCAGAACCTCCTCAGAAGACCGAGGAGGAGGAGGAAGAGTATGAGAGCAGCAGGTAAATCACTTCAGAGTTTCAAAGTCGGAACCAATTTTGGTACAAACACGCGCTATCTATAAATCCTCATAGTTGTCACCAAATGTATAATCAGACTTGTCTAGCACTCTTTTTGGACATTAAACGGTGCTTAACATGGAATTTTTCATTCATTCCACACACAGTGGTGGTGAGCTAATGCGCCTATAGCACCCCTGGGGCAGAGTGACAGAAGTGAGACTAATAATCTGCACCATCAGCTCATTTGATCACCACCAATCATTCACACACGCATCACATTCACTAAGAAAGATGAGTTAAGCGTCTCTCCTAACAGTTGAGCTACTCAGCTAATCCACTGTGGCACCTGGCACTTCCAGCGGTCTCTCATCACAGTACTAAACAGGCTGTGCCATGCTTAGCTTCTTATATCTGGAAGGATCTGGCCACACTGTAATTATAAAACCTACACTTTATAATTAATGCTTTTCAGTGATTTTTTTATATGTGCACCTGTATTTATTCTGATAAGATATAGTTTGTTATGTAACATGCAATAAAACCCTGGAATTGGTTTATAACTTTTCCTCTTGTAAATTACATCATTCAGCATTAATACATTTCAGCATTAAGTGAGTCTGTCACTTGCTCACTTTGTTCTTGCTGTCTCGCACTGTGACTTTTACATGACGTTAGACTATTGTTTAAAAAATAGAGCTTTCCCCTCGCTGTGAGGTCGTTCCACTTGAGATGAAGCCAGTCGATGCATGCTCAGTCCATTATTGTGTGCTGCCTCATACCTGCCCTGCAACTGTCTGCTCAATATTCATGAAGATGCATGCGTGTGCGTCTGTATGTAGGTACAGGTGTTGCGTTCGCACAGCCTATCAGTTCATGTGTGCGTGTGCTAATGAGTGGTGATAAATGGGAGCTGACGGCAGTGCACAGCAGCGAGCAACGTTCAAGAACTCCGCCAACTGTCAAGGAATCTTCTGTACATGCTCTTTATTCAAACACACAGACACTAAATATATTTTGTGTCACTCATAACACACACACACGCACGTTATCCTTGTCCGCCAATTGGAGCGGAAAGAATGTCGGGTGTACAATTGAGAAAGTGCTATTTAATTTGTGCTCTGTTTGCAAGCCACGTATAGCAACAACATATCATTATACAAACGTCATGTTATAAATAAGGGTGCTCTATAGCTGCTGCTTGCTCCATGGAGGTATGGCTTGGTCTTGGTGGAAGAAGAAAAATGTTGGAGGAAAGATGTGCGGTCACCTCTTTCCGAGAGTTGTGACAATCAAACCAACCTATATGTGACCTGTTGACTAATATAATTAATTCTGATCACGTTTTGTTAATTATAGTTGTCTTTGCTGTTCAAACGCTAAAAAATTGTGTCAGCAGACCAATGCAAGATGGCGGTCCATTCAAGTCAATGGCCTGTGTTAATATGTGGATTTAAACGAAACCAGTTGATGTCAAAAGGGAAAAAAGTTCATTTGTGATAAAAAAAAAATCCAAAATCCAACTTCTGTAAATGCTGTCACTGTCAGCTGGCGACCATCCGTATTTGATAACATTACGGTCTATGGGAACATTTCCTGTTTTTGCCCGTTCAAACCTGAGCAGGAGCACATCAGACTCGGCCATTTCCTCAAATCTTCAGGTTAAAACTGGACTCTCCTGAGGAAATGGTTGGAGACTGGTGTGGTCCTGCTTAGGTTGAAACTAAAACCTGCAGCCACACCGGCCCTTGGAGGACCTGATATAGAAGGTGGGCTTTGAGCACATACTGGAGAGGGGCTTAAACTAGCAATACCCTGTCCAAATATTATATTGGATCCATGCAACAGACATTGCAAAAAGGATAACAATGGTCTGAACTCTCCTCAAAACGTGACTTGGACGACATTCAGTTCTCATTATGCTCTTAATGTTTTCTCATTTTCTGTTTTGTGCGGCGTCAAAGACAACTTTCTGCTGTTGCATAATTGTGATCCATTGGTGATTTCTGTGACTCGCACAAAGTCCGTCTGTCCCGTCGGGTGTCAGGCTGATGGACGCGGAGCAGGTGGCCACTGGGTACATTTCACATTAGTAGCAGCCACTGAAGCGTTTTAGTTGGGGGAGCACATGCCGTCCCCAATACACCAGAGATGGACAGGTAGGGCAGGGGCCGAGATCGCTGGAGATGGGCTCCCAGGAGAGAAAGGATTAGAATGTAGAGAACAGTATGGAAACCTTGTGAGACTGTTGTGAGACAAAGATACGAAGGCATCAAGGAGAGCGAGAGAGGAGCAGACCACTGACCCGGGAAGTGTGCATGACCACTGGCTGTCAGGGGAGTGTTTGAGAATGCATTAGAAGAAGAATGAACATTGGCTTAAAGCAGTGTTTCTATCAAAAGGGCTTTACGTACATGTACACTTTTCTGCAAAGTATTTCTGGAAAGGTGAACAGGGAAAGGGCAGTCTCTGTTTCAAAATATACAAATGCCACCAATGCACTGACAATGGTGGATTTGTTAAAGCTGGGCTGCCTAACTTTTTATTCATAAATGATACAGTTTGCCTGTCCTACCATAAATAGCCGTGCAGGTAACTTCTTGTTAACAAATCGAATCACAACACACCACAACTATAGTCCTTGTATTGGAAAACAATCTGTTGTGGGTTGTCAGAAAAGATCATTTCTGCAAAATATCATATAAAACATTGCCTTATCGGTTAGTGTTGGGATTTATTGTATAGTAGCAGTATTCTATTCAATTTCATTTATTTTTGTATGGTCCTAAATCACAAAAGCGGCTGTCTTGGAGGACATTAAAAGTTGTCAATTGGCAAACAACAGATCAGAGTATGAAACAGTTTGAACATAGAAAATACAATAAAAACAAACACATAGGAGCCATAAATGTCCTGGATCACACTGGCCTCAGACCCTCCTACATGGGAAAGAACACCAAAAAAAGTCCCACATAAAGACAAGCTGTAGATCCAGCACTCAGGATGCTCTCCAGACACAGCACTCCCCTGATATTTTGTAAGAAAGACCCCTGTGAGTCACTATTGTACATAAAGTATCTTTTGTGCAATAAAGATAATTTATCTTCTAACTTTTTTAACACATTTGCACATTTCCTGTTGTTTCGCACACGATGAGTGATCCTATTTATGCCAAATGTGACATGTAAATTTCCCCATTGTGAGATCAATAAAGTTTTATCTTGTCCTATCTCTTATATAAGGCTTTGAGCTGAGATTTGAATGGGAGTGGTTCATTAAGTGGATTGCCTAAAACAGACAGGTAACTCGGTTTAAGTTAAAAAATATATCTTGCTCCTATATTTCATGGCAAAATGTGTATTCAACTTGGTGATTGATTGGTGTTGTGCCTTATCGATGATTAAAGCTGGGTTAGCTAACATTCAATCAACAACCAACTTAAACTTGCAACATACTGGGTGTTGGGTCAAAAAACATGTAATTTCTAAAACTCATAAACTTTGGTACCCCAGATTGCATGCATGTAGCTTGAGTACCTCAGGTCTTCTGGAGCCAGTGCTCTCAGGTAAGCATGTTATTTAGTTTACACCATTGTGGGAAACAATCTTTTGTTTCTTCTTCTTTTGACCATATCGTCCATGCAGCCCCAGAAATAACCCACGATAACAAGGTCGTCTTTCTACTTAAAGGCCTTCGTTTGCTTTGTCCCGCTTTCTCTTTCACATTGAGCCAAGATGTGGATGGCTTCCAAATAGCCGCTGCTGCTGTGTCCACTTGAACAAACCCAGGACACCGCAAGTGCATGGGGCTGTGCTGAAGTGAGCACTGGGGACAGTTAGTGGTGAAAAGTCGAGAAGGGCATTGAGCTGGCATTTTTATAGTCTTTTACTGCAGCTGAGTGTACCGCAATAAGCCAGATCCCCTTAACTTTCTGAAATCTTGCTTTCAACGAATTATGCTGCTCAGTGCTTACTTGTTAGAACATAGTGCGCAAAAAATATTCACAAATATTAATTATAGCACATAATTATTTCATATCGGAGGTTTTCTAATATGTGCAGGCAACAGGCATCAGTTTCTATGGCAACCAGTGCCTCGCCCACGGCACAAACTTCCTGCTCTGGTGAAGCAGAGAGGGAGAGAGAGATAGGGTTGGGGTGGCAGCAATAGTTTAGATGAGTTGTGACTGGAAGGCTAAATACACAGCATTATACATTTTAAAGTAACACATGCCACCCTTTGAGTTATTTAGGTAATTTAGCTGATATCCCGCATGCAGCTTAAAACCACTTGTCTTCCAGCATTTTTTGTGTGTTTTGTTTCTCCCAACTATTCTCGCATTGAACAAAGAAGGAAACACTGGGAAATCCTTTGAAGCTCTCTAATGCCTCCCACAGGTTGTCACTGTCAGTGCAACCCGTCCTCTTGGCATTCCACCAAAGCGTTTCAGAAAGCTTTGTCTCGTTTGCTTTGGCTGGCATCTCAATTGACTCTGGATCCATACAGCACACGCATATCTCCACTCGTCTTGATTATGGGAAATCACTGCGTCTGTATAAAAGAAACCTGCTGTGTAATGCTCCACTGTAGACACGTTTATATCAATTTTCTGAGATCAATATTTGTTTTATAATTGAAAAAAGCTGTCCGCAAAATTCAGAATTTCATATACTTGACATAACAGAATTTGTCTTAATTCTGGCACATTTTACATTAACAAAAAGTTGGTATGTGCACTCACAAGCTTCTCTTGGCTATGGATTCTGCTATTAAACAAGAGACAAGGGATCTTCCACATTATACATGTTTGAAATTTTAATGAAGGCTTCAATTAAATATAGGTCTATTTGTTTTGAACTTGTCAAATATACATGTATGCATATATTTAGGATTGTTGTAAATTGCCTTTAACTTTATACTAATGTGCAACAATGTAACAGCCCAATGGTGATGTCATTATCTATAACTACATTTGTTTTTGTCATGTGTAGTTGTCTGACTTTGTTGCCTCAATCATTAATTGATTTGATAAAAGATCAGATTCTGTGGAATATTCCAGGCCTTCCAAAAGCATTATAATTATTCTGTATATTAGGGTGTAGTGTTTGCTCCATCTGGTTTTTGTCATATTTTTATTTTGGGTTTTGTCTTCAGACTTTATACCGCTTATAAAATGCAGTTTGAAATCACAGCCACTTGAAATATCTGGAATTTTGTTTTATTTTCTACATTATGTTAATTATTGCAAAACTACATGATTCATAACTTGAAGGTTTTCTAAAAGGTGCCCTGACATTTTTCATGTTTCTGCATTCAAATTCTGTGTTATTATTCTATTCATCATAAATAGAGGGAAAATCATTCAATGCCATGGAAATTAGTCAAAGCGACATCTCCATGGAGACAAGGGCCTTCTATAGGAAAAGTTACACACTGCAGCTTTAGTGTTCCAAGCCATCATTTTCATGCAGCCTGAGAAACCGCAATATTTCAGGATTACTTTATTGACTGTTGATTGCGTGGACTGAAGTTTGCCAGATGTCTTTATATCCACAACATGATTCAATTAGCTATGATGAAAAAGTTTTTCCCGCTTCATAAACTGTTGAAAATAAGTAGCAGATGTGTTGTATCATTCACAACCCACTTGAATAATTCCGTTGAGACAGTTTCCATTTCACAGCACCCACACCACATCTTGACTAAATTTACGTGGCGTTAATGGTTTAAGCTGTAAGTCGGACATGCTCGCTGCTATAGCTAATGACTTTGAGTGGAGTTTTAAAGGTGCCGACCACAACTGTGCACTCGTCGCCGGGGGTAACGCTGCCATGAAATTAGATGCCGCTCGTTTGTCATGTCAAGGTCGATACTTACCTCGGGTCGCGCTTTCCTCCTCCTCTGAGCTTTTCTTGCTTCTTTTACTTTCTCCTGTTGTTATTATGTCTGACTGCGTTCGGGACAAATCCATAGAATTGCAATATTGATGACACCACTGTGTGATGGATGCTGAAATCTAAAGAGTGTGTAGGGACGTCTTTGGCTGAGGTTCGGGTACTCGGATTACAAATGAGTAGGATTTTTGTTTGGGTTCAAGCGATATGATTTTTATAGGCCGATATTGATACCAAGTAATTATTGGTCAAGAAGGCAGATTTTGTGTGTGTGTGTGTGTGCATAATGCGTATGTGCAGGCATGCCTATGAACCGATATATTTTCCGTAAAAACGGAAAATACAAACTCCAAGACTGATTTGTTTACGAGCCTGAATCATATGTTTATTTAACCAAACGAGTGATGATACATAAAAAAAACAAATTGCTCCCACTGTACAGACTGGATGTGAAAATTGGAAAGATCTCGCAGGTAAACAGATGCTGACTTGTATCTTCTGTGATTTTTATCCAAAGGAAGTTTAATTTGGTTTATTTAGGTCTTAATGAACAGGATACTATTCAGACAGCGCGTTGTTTTGGGCACATGTACAATAAGCAGAACAATTACATGAGGCACAGCTGTTGTGTTGTGCAGTAGACTAAGAAATGTTTTTGTTGTCGTTTCAACCAGTTGACTGGATTAGACAAGCGTAATAATTTGTCACATAAAACATGATGGGTCACAGGGCTGTTCCCAACGCTGCCCTTCAGTACACTGGCAGATATGAGGCAGCCAATCTCTGCCATTGGACCACCAGCACCACCAATCATTCACTCACCAGATGCATACATAGGCAATGGAGGTGAAGCTTCTTGCCTAAAAACACAACAGTTAAACAGTCGTCCCATTGTGGCTCTTGGTATTGAAAGCAGTCTCCCATCACACTGCTAACCATGCAGGCTCGGCACTACTTTACTTCAGACAGGATCAGGCTTTGACAGGCAGGTATGGCCTTGTATAAATGGGAGGATTGGCCCCTCAATTACCTGGTCTTCCTCTGCTCCCATCAATTCAAACTTCCCAATAGTCTTCATCCTATAATATACTACATTTCTTCATCAATATTTGTTTATCTCTTTTCATAACCCCCTCTCTTTTTTCTGCACTTCCCACGCTGAAGCTAAGGGTAGCACTTTTGTGAGGATAAATGGGGCCTATTTAAGGTGCTGGCAGGTTCATCCGGTTCGTATGTGCTTCCCTGGAGTGTAGGGCTGTGTGGATTTTGTGTTTTGACAACTTTAGCTGCATTTTGCCAGAGTAAAAGCCACAATTTGTACACGCACTACGCTGCAAGGTTACTTTATTTCTATGACTAATACCATGTCCCTTCTCTTCTTCTTTCAGCCCACCAAAGCCTGCAGTCATTGTCTCTGGAGTGGTTACAAAGGTACGCACACACTCGCAAGCGTCACACTATTGAAAAATAAATGTGAAGGAACTAGAAAATTAAAAGCTGTCGCAAGCTCATAGGGAAGCAATACGGCCTGTAGCAGATTGTGCAAATAATAGTAATAGAATAATGTCCTGTTCCAGCTTAAAATCGATAAACAATTAGTAAATGGTTAATTACAGCGTATGGTTAAAATACGAACATTGCTTTTCAATCATGGACGGATGATGAAAGGGAATTTAAAATGTATAATGAGAGTCCTAGGTTAAAAGTATGAATAAACATGTATATTTGTAGTTACCAAAAGATTATGATTTTGCCTAAGGTCAATCTGTGAATCAATGTCAGAGTGCCCTTGTTTTATATTTCACTCAACAAAAAAACGAAAAGACAGAAGAGGAAAATCTGGATGGCAGTTTTTACCTCCGCTCTAACAACAGCAATCGAGAGGTTATATTTTACTGTGATAACAAAGAAAATGGGTGCAATGTGTATGGCCTTGTGGGTCTCGTTGCAGCCTTGACCTGGCTCTGCAAAAAGTGGGTCAACATCTGTGAATAGCAGTGTTTGCTCACCCCGCACACTCGCGAGCGGCGTGAACGTGAACACACAACGCGCACAAAGAGTGTCCTTGATTTCCCGGAGACTTGTTTGTGAAAGATTACCCCAATATCAGCGAGGTGCCAGGCTGCCATTTTCTCCCAGATCCTTCCCCTCCGCTGCCTGTCGGAGCCATCAGAGCCAGAGGCAGAAAAGAGCCATGAACAGCTTTTAGGAGTGCATCCAAACACTTTGCACTCAACCAGCATTTTACATTGATGGTTCTACTTTTGTGACTTGTAAAGAAAAACCTGCGGCAAATCTGTTATTTTTGTGATTGTCATGAGATGTTGTGTTCAGTAGAAGTGTACTCAGTTATTTAGGCACTGGCTGTTCATAGTATTATTTATTTCAAAATAGAGAGTACAATTTGAGAGCCAGGAAGTACAGATCAACTACAGATATTACCCGTTATATCAATCATTCATTCAACTTTTATTTGTAGAGCGCATTTTCTACACAAGACAACACAAAGCGCCTCACAACCCATATCACATCAGGCATAAATCACAAACATAAAAATCTACATAAACATAAACAAAATATGGTTATAGTCCCACAGGACATTAAAAACAAACCTTTAGATCACAAGAAATATTAAAAACATTTTTTTTTTTAAATCACACATGGGATTAAAATCGTAAATATATAAAAAATGGTATGCCTGACTTTTGTGTTTCATGAATAACGCATGTCTCAACAGAAAGAGTCTTGTAATAGTAACAACAGAGCACAATCTGCTGGTTTGACCTTATTAGAAAACATTTTATATTTTGCAGACTTGTAAGAAAGAGCCCTTTGAGTGACTGAGAAGTCTGTCTGATGAAGCTTAGCCAAACATGTGACAGTGACCGAAAATATATGGTTCTATAGTGCGCACATGCAAACTGTTATAGAGCCAGGCACTACCAATAGTTTCATGGATTTCACTACACAGTTAAATGAGTTTGACAGTCGAGGACCCCAGCTTCAACCCTTTTGAAATGTGTATAAAATGGCTAAGTTTTGTTTTAAATGGATGCAAATATTAAGCAGTTTTTTTTTTCCGCTTTGAAATTGCAACTTTCCACTGATGTTTGTATACAGTGGGAGGAAGAGAAGCCGTGTGCATAGGCTCAGGATTACATTAAATCAGCAGTGGGAGAGACACAGATTAGGACTGTTGTATAAGTTCTATAACTGACTCCATAGTTTAACTTTATCGAATCAGAAAGCTACTGATTTTTATTTTTTATTTTTTTTAAGTAGTTATTCATTCCAAACTTGGAGCCAATGCAGATATGATATAAACAGAAAAGCAATATTCACAGCTTGTTGGACGAGGCAGACGCTTATTCAAAAGAAGGGGTATATTTACGTTCTTTTCAAAGTCTTCTTAAACCAGGTGCTCAGTCGGTGTTGTGCGTACGCTGAGAAACGAATAAGGGAAGCCAATTGCAAAGACTGTGTTACATACGGAGTAACTCGGAGAACGTAGTGCCATGTGCCAGCAATTAAAACTCTCAAAGGCTTTTTATTGGTTCCCAAATTGCCGTAATCCGATTAGAATCAAGGTTGTTTGTGAACATTTCGAACATTTCTCGAACAGGCAGATTGGTGAACAGATGAGCTGGGGCCCATCACTGTACTCATCCTGCGCTTTAGGGATTTTCATATTGTCGTCGCAGTCGTCTGAGGAAGCGGCTTTAAACGAGGTCAAGAGATGTGCTTTTCCTGCTCAAGTGTCAATTGTGCACATGGGAACTTATGTAGATCCTTTGCAACTTATCAAGCAGAAGAAAACAGACAGGAGACAGAAAAGGCACATTCAGTACAACTTTAAAAATGTACCGCATATGTCGGAATATGTACTTCCTGTTACTCAGTATACAGTAGACCACCTTCCTACATAAGTCTTTCATATATGTCTTTCCTGCCTCTCATAGTAGATATAATAATGTGTTTAACAGTGCTCAAGTCTTTTGTGACAAAGTGTGTAAAATCATTTAAATGCCAAATAATGATTTCAAAATTGAAGTAGCACAAGGACAAATGTTGTGAAACTAATTATTGACTCAAACCAGAACAAATCACGTTCTTAACTATTTTTCGCGTAAATAATACATCATGTTTGTCCAAAGAGACGGAGATTACAGAAGAACAAATCAGACCACGTCAGGGCGTCTTTATCCCATTAGAACATTTTATATTTTGCATTTAAAAACCCTGTAAGTCACTATTTGATGCTTTGGGTGGATTGCTGATTGGCTGAAAGGGCAGTCCTCTCCCTTCCCTTTTCTGTCTTGCTATTAAAAAAACATGTGACGGAGGGTAAAAAATACATGCTTGTGGATACTAGCTCCCTAAAACGGTTTGGTTCCATCACTATTGTTCATTCTTTTGATTTGAAAGTTAGGTACCCCAGCTTTAACTTTGAGCCAGATAATCATACGCACTGTTCAAAAACCGTGGTATATATTAACTTGCATTAGCTCTCCATTAGCCTTTGCTCCGATCCCTTCCCGTGCTTGTCCCTGACGTGGCTTCTCTGTGTTCAGGGAGATAAGGACTTCACACCTGCAGCTGCCCAGGTGGCCCACCAAAAGCCCGCGCCGGGAGTCCCAAAGCTGCCCCCCGCCCAGCACCACAACCAGCAAATCCACCAGCCCCGCAAGTGAACCCCTACTACCCCCCGGGAAGAGCTGTCACGGCTAACGACTCCACCAGCCGGCCTTTCGCAAAACACGCACACACACACACCCAGTATCACATCTTCGCACGTTTATCCGAATCACTCTTGCTCGCCGGTATAATCTAAAGTCACTACGGTCACTATGTGGAAGTCTGTGCTGCTGTACGTTGCACTATTTACAACCTGCACCTTTAGCGTCCTTACACAGTTGTCCCTGGTTTAGTTTAGTCTGCTCTGAACCTGACGGGAAACGGCTATCGCAAGCGCACGCAACTAATACACGCCGCAACCACGAGCAGCCTATCGCAGAACACCTTGCAACCGATGACCTCAAAGCATGAACCCAAATGATGTTAAACGACCGATCAAAAGTCTCGATGATGGGGCGGGACCTCCAGCATGGACCACGATAATTAGTGAAGCTGTTTGTTTGCCCAATTGGTGGTAGTTACGGCAACTTAACAAGCATGACCAAAAAAAGTCCCAATAGTTTATAGTCAATGTGGTGGTGATAAGAAATGATATCTGTAACCAATGCTACAAAATGAATGGAATTGCGATCCAGGCTTTTGGGATGTGTTTGGGCTTCTTTCGCTGTCCGTCTCTCGCCTCAGTATCACACAGCTTGCCGCTTTATTTGATTTATAGAAAGACAATGATAATTTTCTCGGGTTCATTTGAGACATTTTCTTGGATTCATTCATAGCATACTGTACATTCCACAAACAAAAAAATATTTCAACGCTGTCTGCTCAAGTGGCAACTCAACATCGTATATAAGTATAACACATTTATTCCATCTGGTCAGTATTGACATTTTCAAAAGCATATCACACGTGTTGAAAATCTATTGTTATTTTTGTATGGAATCACGTATTTAGATAAAAAAGCGTAATGTTTTCACACCTGAATCCTTTGCTGTTAACTGTCACTTGTTTTAACACTAATATCAGGTTCTTGAAAAAACTCTATTATAAAGTATTGCCAAGAAAGAATAATTTCCCAATGTTAATTTAAGTTTGAAGAGCTTTATTTTTGTTCTTGCTTTGTTCTTTAGCTTGAGAAAAATGTTCAAATCTTTAGTTTGTGAGTGGTAATAGGTGTGGTTGTCATAGATGAATAAATGTATTGACTGCCCTAAATGCTCTGGTTTTTTTTTCTTACTATTACTACAGTCGTGAGCTGTACCGGTAGTGAAAATATGCTAATTTCACTACTGGTCATTTAAATGCACTATTCTGAACGATTATAGGGCAAAATAGATTTATATTTTATCGTAATGTAGCTCTTCAGAGTGACTGCAAAATATTGACGTGATTAAATATTTCTAAAAAGGAGGACGATGCAGGTGGTCCCAGTGTTGTATAGTGAAAAGCAGCTTTATGGGTAGCATTAGCTTTAAATTATATTCAGACTTAGTTCTATTTATAAAAAACCATAGTGTGTATCCCATTAGGGTCAATCGTTTATACATTGTTCCTCCAAATATAATCAAATTGGGATAAATTAAAGATCGGCCTCATCTTTCATATTGTGCCTAATATATATTTTAATATTGAGTGTATCTTCTGCCATGCCAGCCCTACAAGCATATTACTGATACCAGAATACTCAATAAATAAATTAAATGTATTCTTGTATAGCCCTAAATCACAACAGTAGTAGTATCTCGGAGGACTTAACAAAACCATTTGATTTTCTGATCTGTGTTGCCGAAGTCCAACATTTCTCGTGTGCGAATACGAGAAATGCAATGATTAAAAAAATTCAGGGGCAGAAGACCAATGTCCACAAATGTTGATGTTGTTGAATGATGTGTATTCTGGATCATCAACAGTCCTATACTGCGCTTGTACATACAGTATTTTTGCTTTATCTTGAAACCGACTATAACATGACCAGTCGGAACAACAGACTATAAAGTTAGCACATGTCGTTCGCTGGTCACGCCTTGTAACTCCTGAACACCGTATATAAGGGTCCCGTGGAGAATTAGCCGTGCTCGGAGGGATTTGGGCTCAGGTGGTGTTTTCAAATGGAACACACTTCTCTTTTCAGGTGCGCTGTTTTGCTGCTTTCACAAACTCATAAGGCAACCGTGAGCCAGGTGCTTGTGCATGTAATCCATCTTTACACAGGCATCTGACGCCAGGTGTTCTGTCACATCCTGTTAGACCAATAAAACTAGTCAAACCATAGCCAGAGATGCTGAGGATCCATTTTCTTTCTGGGGTATTTACCTTGATTCATATAAGATTGATTTTAGCTTATAAGACTGACCTTTTGCCTCTCTGTATGTATAAATAAAGATGAATAAATGGATAGTACTTGATGTAAAGCTTGGCCTGTCTTAAAGATGCAGTCAGTGATTTTCCCAGACGCGTTTTTTTTTTTTTTTTGATATTGTGGGAAAACGTCCTTAAAACCAGCAAAGTGATCACGTGTTTTCAAATAGTAATATAATTGATCAGATACCTGGAGCAGACCGATAACAATAAACCAATGGGATTCGTTCATCCCCAACGAACCAATGGGATACGTTTACCCCTTCACCCTCTTCCTGTTTCTCTCGAGTGTTATCAGATTTTCTAAAAGCTAAAGGGGCTGAACAGAAAATGCCAATTTCATGTTTGCCATTCACTCTCCCTGCTGTGACAAAGTCCTTGAAGAGCATCATTGTGGCTCAGATGATCGGATCACCAAGTAATCAACAGTCCAGGATCTATGTTTTAATGAAGTGAGGGCTAGAGTAGGACTTGGGTTAGCTTTAGGGTTAAGAATAGGGTTAAGAATACGGTAAAGGTTAGGGTTATGAGTCCAGGATAATCTTGTATCACATTCTGGACTTGCTGATATTGCACGTTTTCATAGTGCATGCTTTTTAATGAAATATCAAAAATCAAATAATTATTTTACTTGGATTAAGCAGATATAAATGTTCGAATGGCATAAAAGTCCCTTCAATATTATTATTTATTGCTATATTTTTTCAACTGCAGTATGAAAACATGAGCCATTATTGTTCTTTTAAAAGGGAGCAAATGCTATTTCCTCATGTGGGTTACTGTAAAAAAAAAAAAAAAAGGCAAAAAACTTGACCTTGCTGGTCTTAATTGGATTTAGTTGGGCTTCATTGTATCCATTGGAACTGTCAACATTAGTACAAAAGCGTTATGTTAAAGCCTTTTGATAAACTAGTTTAAATGTGCAGATAAGTACCTGCACCTATGCAAAAATACAGAGGTTAAAAGCACATAATTGTATAGTCTTGTGCGTTTTGTAATCTTAGTCACATATAATAAATGTCCTTTTTTTTATAGTTTAGTGCACTTACCGGCATGCCATTCACATTTCAGGCACTTAATTATATTAGGCCTGAGTATACATGGCCAGCTGCTTGCCATGCGGTGTGCAGAAAATTAGTGCTGGTTTCAACTGGTTCAGTGCAGAAGAGCGGTCTGTGGATAAAGTGCTTTTAGCAAACTGAGTGGAATCTGGATCTGAAGGACGTCTGTTTGTTTATGTGATAGAATGACAAAGTTACTGTGACATTCTGGGCAAATGACCCTCAAAGGTAATATTTAATCCATGGCTTCAGTTCTAGAGATTACAGATCTGTGGGGTCTCTCTGAAAGTGTGAGGATATACAGTCTTGTCATTAAAAACAAATTAGTGATTCAACTTTATTAAATATGTCATTTAAAAAGGACAACTTTGCCCAATGTGTGACCAGATCAAGAAGAATTAAATGATATGATTAATTAATTGAAATTATAGTAGTATTACTCATTAGATTAATTAATAATAAGACTAGTTTGTTGTGAATTATATTGTTTGTATATTGTGTTAACTAATGGGTTTTTGTTTTGCCACCAGTGTTTTATTTTTCAACAGTTCATAATTAAGGGCACATTCATGGTAATTTTTGTTTAGCCACAATACTTTGGATCAGCAATATTATGTAAATCCCGTGAAGAGCGAATGATGTAAAACCAGAACCCACCAGCAGAGGGCCTCAGTCGTGGATCCCCGCGTTACCACAGTTACCACAGCACGGATGATACAATAAAGAGGTCAGTATAAATCCCAAATAATTCCCAACCGAGATGACATAATAGCTCATGTGCTATCAGTAAATAGAGTCCCATATGAGTTGATGCTTTGAGTCTATTTGAGGGATTTGGCTTTGGGGAGAGGAGGAGGAGGAGGAGGAGGGAAATGCTGAGCAAGCCTGAAGGGGCATATAATCTCGGTTTACAATCTGAGCCAACAGATGTTTCAACTACAACCATGGCCTCAATATGAACCATTCTGTCCAGGCCTCGCTGTGTATCCCTGACCCTGCGAATACTGTCAGGAGTTATAATGGAATATACTATAGGCCAAGTAAATACAGACCAAAGAAACCCAAATTGATCGGGAAAAAAAAGTTTGCATGGAATTATTCATAGCATAATGTTTCTAAAGTATAAAACAAGAACTGTAAAATAAATTAGGTTATAACAATAATAATAATAATAATAAATAATCTTTATTCCAGATTTAAGGCCCATATTCAGTTTTGCCGAAAAAATCATAATATTCACAAAGAATTGCTTATTTTCTTTGGTCATAATTTGGAAATCAATGATAACGCACAGACAAAGGTTTCACTCATTGTTAAGGGTTGTGTGTAGTCATTCATAATAATTGTCAAATGTGTTTTATATTTTTAAATGACAACAGAAAGTACTCCTCTGACCCTGAAGTTTCCATCCCCCTGTTCTCAATCGTGTGTATTTACCCTTTAACATCTATCTAGTCTTTTGTAGTAGTTGTGGATGAGGTACTTTATCTTCTCTGATCAATTCCTGGGCTGCTTTGCATGAACTGCACATTTGAGAGCTCCCCAGATCGACTCAATGATGTGATAATTAAAAAACAATGACAATGGGTGCGTTGTGTTTTGTTTTATTTTTTTTCTTGCCGAGGGAGGAGGTTGCAATT